TGGATGTGCTGATGGCGGCCAAGACTGACACACAAATTAATGATACATTTACTGATGGTGATGTATACATTCTACTTTAAATATTATAAGTTTATATACTGTATGTACAGGAGACTTTTGAGTGATCAGATATATTGGGTAACATTTTTAAAGCAATTATAAAAATATTCTTAAATACATAATTAACATATTAATTGTGTATAAATAATATCACTCGTGGTCAATATTATTCTCACCTGCCCTTATCATCTGTGTTAGGCCAGAATAGATAGATTATACAAATTCTAAATCTATAATTTAAAATTGAAATTGTTAAAAAATGATCTGGGTTAATAATCTGTTGCCATATTTAGTGTAAATGATATAAAAACTAACCATGGGCATAAATTGGTTTTCAGAGGGCAACGTAACGGTAATGGAAAGCAAACGCGTCGACGATAACGATAAGGCGGTTAAGGGGTTGACCGACGCGGAGATCGTTGCCCAGGGGTTCGCATTCATAATCGCCGGTTTCGACCAAATATCAAACCTGTTGTCGTTTTGCGCCTACGAGTTGGCGCTCACGCCTCACACCCAACAGCGGCTCTACGAGGAGATCGTGGCGGCGATGGGCGGCTCTCGGGAGGGCCCGGAGCTGGGCTTTGACGCGCTGTCGGCGCTGCCATATCTGGACGCAGTAGTGAAGGAGACCCTGCGCTTACACGGGTCGCCGCTGAAGCTGAACCGCGTGCCCGGCGAGGACTACCCGTTGGGCGACACGGGTTTGGTGGTGCCCAGGGGTCAGCCACTGGAGATACCCATATACGCGATGCACCACTCGGACACTTTTTTCCCCGAAGCCCACCGATTCATTCCCGACCGCTTTCTGCCCGACAATAGCCACAAATTAATACCCTATTCGTATGTGCCGTTCAGCGCCGGCCCCCGGGTTTGCGTCGCCCAGTCGTTCGCAGAGATGGAGACTAAGCTGGCGTTGGCTCGGGTTGTGTTGCGCTACCGGTTTGTCGCCGATAGGGACACATGTGTGCCGCCGATCGTCCGAAAGCATCCCATATTTAAAACACTCGTCACAATGTATTTGCGCGTCGAATGCCGAGAATGATATGCACTGTATATACAGACTGTATATCAGTCATGATTATTGTAACTGAGCTTAAAGTTTAATCGCATCTATAGTTAAGTTTTTAACCACAATTCAGAATAAAGAATGTAGTTTATAGGATCTCGAAACACACGTTCAGTAGAAATTCTAATTAAATATTTGTAGTATTCAAACAACTTTTTCACTGTATATAAAGTTTTTATTAACAACAATTAAAACTAAATTCATTGATATATTGTTTATTCAATTAACTATTAATTAAAACAAATAAAACCATATGTTAACAAAACAACCATTTTTTTAAACACAAACACCATATTTGCAAAATAATCATATTACTTCTAAGGTTTGGTGTAGGACAATAGTATCATAATTAATAAGGCAATTTTTTTTAATATATACAATTTACTCAAAATTAATAATAAAATTGTATTAAAATTATTTTGTTTTAGACAATAAAAATTCATAGAAAAATGAATTGTCATTAGTTTTAAGTGTATTTAACAGTGTATTGAATTCCTCAGTGTTTGCAGTAATTGTCTGCTTATCGACTGACCAGTAGTTATAGTCTTGTAGTACTCGATCACTGGTCGGCCGGTTGTCTGCTATTGCCTGAAACATTTGTGCAATCATTTCGTGTAATTTCTTAAAATTGGCCGAAAATGTGGTCAAATTGTATGTTTCCGAAGGATTATCACTACAAATATAATTTAAAATTTAAGATTTTAACAAATAGATTGTTATAAATGTCATACATATTGAATAAATCAAACAACTGATATGAAATGACTGCCAGACTATAAATGTCTATTTTAGTAGTGTATCGGCTCTGAAACACTTCGGGTGCCATATATCGTGAGGTCCCGACACTTGACGTGTGGCTCATGGATACCATGTTGTGCTCAACGGCTTCACCAAAATCACATAGTTTTATAAACCGACGATTATTAGTGTTGTTGACAATTAAAATGTTTGCAGGTTTTAAGTCCCTGTGAATGACGGGTGGATTCAATTCATGGATGTATTGCAAACATTGCAAGAGTTCGCGAAGTATTTCACACGAAATGAAATACTCGTATAAATTCATTGCTTCCGACGATTGTCTGCCAAATACTATGGCTTTGTCTTTGATTACATCTCCGAGTGTTTGACAGCAATACTCCATATGAATGAACACATGTTTCCCTTCAGACCACGAGTTGTAATATTCGACCACAAAATCTGAGTTTAGTTTTGATAATATTTTCACTTCTTTTATAACTTTTTGTTTCTTTTCTTCACTAAAATCTGTACATAATTTTTAAAATAAAATATTAATATTTTACAAATATTCATTGAATTTACCTCCAAAATGTACTTTCTTAACGGCATATATCTTATTATCCAATCTATGCTTTACTTTAAATGCTGTCCCAAAAGCACCTGAAGCTATGGCTGATATTTCAATGAAATTGGTTTTATATTTACTATCAATTGTTTGCTCTCTTGTAGTACTTATGCTATGATTAGCCGTTTGTTGTATTAATTCTTTGGATTCTATGTTATAATGATCATCACTTGTTATTTCTTGTAATTCATGA